CATGTAGAACAGAAAGTGCCCCAGAAATGCTCTGGTTGGGACTTCAAAAGAAGAATCAGAGATTAGCGCAACTATTAAGATTTTTTTAAGAGAGAGATGAAATTAACATTTTAGCTTTGAAAAGTACATGGCTAGGCAAAGGCAGATTGAGAAATATATCAGTTTGTCCCTCCTTTGTTAGTGAATCTGTGGGCAGAATACTTTTTACTTTGCCTTCAGACTGTAAAAATAGAAAAGAAAATATTAACAAATGTGAGTAGATCATTGTCAAGTAAAGTCAATAAAAATGATTGCTCTGGCAATATAAAAGTGTTCCATAAAAGCTTAATAATCAACAGTATTTAAGCTGTGCACCACTGAGTAAGTTGACAGTGTGCCTATGTTTTATAAATAACATTTATGGACTTTCACAAATCAAAATTTCAGTCTTTATGAGTTGTATATAAGTCTGGGAAGTGGTTGAAGCCACATTTCAAATCTAAACCTCTTCTGAGGCACCCTGCCAAATGAGCACAGGCTGGTGAAACTGGTTTGCCCTTTAGAGAGCTAAAGAGTGGGATGGGACTTAAAAATAATAGGACTCCAAGAAACATACAGAATTTCTCTAAATCTAAAAATGTAGGCTGTGTATTTCACTTTCTTACACATAATTACCTTAGAAATTAACAATTCCATTTGTTTTGTTTGCTCATAATTTAGCTACTGGTATATGTATGATATAAAGTTTTATAATAGCATAGGTTAAATTGCATCTGGGCCACTGAAGCACTGTTTTTGTCTTAAAGTACATTGCAAATAGAAGTATTTCATACTTTTTTGCATGATTCAGCTGAGATTATTAATGTGATTATTTTAAATGCCACTCACTGGATATCATCACACTTTCCCTAGCCAATTACAATTGCCTGATATCAAAGAAGCATATCTCATGAATCTTTGTGACATGGATTCTTACACATCAGAAGCTATTCTTCATAGAAGGAAATAAAGGAAGTAAGAATGAGATTCAGGGAGGAAAAAGGGAAGGAAAAACAAAAGAGAAGGAAAGAGGTCCAAAGGCAGTAAGTTAATTTTTCTCTTCACCAGAGAATTGCAAATGTAAACTTCCCTGGTTCCCTGACCAGTGTTGATAATCATACATTGGAAGATGTAATGAGACTACAATGAAGTGTAGGACTGAGACATTGCTCAGTGGGTAAAGTCACCTGCCACCAAGCCTGCTGACCTGAATTTGATCCCTGGAGCCACATAGCGGAAGGAGAGAACTGGCTTCTGCAAGTTGTCCTTTGACCTCTGCGTGCAAGTGGCAATGCCTAACACCCACTTAACAAATCAGTGAACAAATTTTTACATTAAAATAAATAAATGAAATTTCACCAAATCAACACTCAGAATACTAAGGTGACCCAAAATTTGTATTTCCTATTGCATCTGTCACATGCTCTGTGTCAACCACCCAGTCAATATCACTGGCTAATAGCCTCCTACGTGGGTAACATTGCTAACACTATATCAGCAGAATTTTTGGGGTCCTCTTTGAGGAAAATCCATTGGCAGCACTGAAGGTGAGGGACACAAACAGAGGACTCCATCACTGAAAGCCAATGTGCACACTGCCTCCTCAATGCGGAACTCCAAGGACAATATGATTAAAGGAGGCTTGAAAGTTACCCCCTCATCAATGAAGGAGGGAGTGTCCTACAGGTATCCCAACATCCTATTTCCTATAAAGCATTGGTCTTCCTACAAAGTGGTCAAAGGTTCACTGAGTATTGAGTGTGTGCAAACAGGAGGAGGGATATATAGTTGGGAACTAAAAATATATATATAAGAAAAGAAATTAATATTTCTTACCAATTGGTACTTACCAATAACAAAGCCGCAAATAGCAAAAGGCATAAGTAAGTAATATAGACATAGTTTACAAATAATTTCCATATGTACTAAAGGCATGATCAAAGTTGATTTGAAAATTCTTCATCTTATTTTCTTAGATTATCTCCTAGGATTTATTTGATCCCTGCCTCTACTGTACATAGCTAGCTTATCTCTTTATGTCCCTTTAGGCAGTCGTGGAATTATAAACCATCTCTGGTAGCTGTCCATTCCCAAGCAGTGCTGTCAGATCGAAAATACTCTGTTATTTTAACCAGGGTTAGAATGAAACTCAGTGGGGGCGAGGAGGAAACATGAGGCAGAGCCTCTAGGAATTTGGGACTGATCTTCTTGTTACCTTCAGTTTCTGTGATTCCATGAAATTTGCCATAACTGAATAATTTGTTCTTGTCACACTCAGCAAGCCAGGCTGTTAGAATCCAGTCCAGAAAAACTACAAGTTGCATTTCAAAATATAACTGAGATAAAAGTATCAACCCAAAGTTAAGATGCAATAGATCTAAAAGTTACACCATGTTTTTGTGTCTATTCTCCAAACTTCAAAAATCTGAGTTTAAAATATGACCTGAGGGATCCAAAAACATCATCCATTGTCTCCTGGATTACCTTCATGTTGAACTTCACCTACATGCCCAATAACCTTTTAATGTACATTATACAGTCTCCTTCATTCAGGTATTTTTTCATCTGGAATTCAAAGAGCTTAAGACAGAGTATGATGTCTATCTACATTCATTGACTAGACACATTTTAAATTAAATAAATGATTAGAATTTGCAGTTATAAGAGGAATCTATAGGCAGGTGAAATACATATAAATTAAATCTGGTCAATTTCTAGTCATCTAATATTTGACATTTATTGAATAGTAAAATTATAATAAATTTTTACAATGATCAAAGTTTAAAAATAATAATATGGAGTTGCTTGCCTAGCCTTAAAAATATATATTAGATTTTTCATTGGTTCACCAAATTCTTTCCATCAAACCAAACCAAATGATGTGTGTGTGTGTGTGTGTGTGTGTGTGTGTGTGTGTGTGTGTGTGTGTGTAACTACATTGTGTCTTTGTGTCTATTCCCCAAACTTTAAAAATCCCAGTTTAAAAAAATTATGACCTAAGGAATGTCAAACATGTCATACACTTAAAAGCATGATTGGCTTCCATGAGTTACAGAATGACACTCTAGATATCTGCAAAGTTATTCCCAGACTCCTTATCTACGGCTTATATCTACTCTAAGCTGAGAGAAAAGGAACCAAGACAGTTTTCTTGAATAAATTGAAACCAATGCTTTAGCCACATACCTTGCTGTTATTGGGAAAATAAGTAACTGGTAGAAAGAATCATGATTGATTTGGAGTTGGAATGTGAGAGTATGCTGATAACTATGGTAATTATTAAACTCTAGAAGTTTACAAAATGTGGGGACTAAGATGAAAAAATAGACCTGAGACACTACAGAAAAATCATCTGTCATGTCTTAGTATCTAGGCAAATGTTCAATGATTGTTTTCTAAATCTGAAGACCAGATGTTTTAACATTTCTGGATTAGTCTTATAATCTAGTCTCATGAATTTTCCCATGCAGTGGTCTGGCCCAAACTTAGATCCTTAGTCTATGGGATAAATCTATAAAGTTCTAAAGGGGCAAGCCAACCTAGTTAAACTGATCCAGAAGTAACTTTATCTTTAAAGATCTTTGGAGTTGAAAAGCACAATGGTTAATCTTAATTGTCAATTTGATGAGAGTCACCTAGGAGATCAGTAAAGCACACCTCAGCGGTATTCATGAGAGGGATTCCAGGGATGGACAGACTCAGAAGTCTTCTGTCTAATCAACAGTTTAATTCCATTGATTGACTCAGAATAGACTAACTGGTGGTGGAGTTAAGGAAGGTGGGGTCTAGTTAAGAAAATATGTATATGCCCTTGAAGAGTATATCTCATCTATCAACCTATCTACCTACCTATCTACCTACCTACCTATATCCCCCATCTTTTACCTACAACTTTGTTCTTCCATACACTCTTGGTGCCATAATATCCGGCTTTACTATAGGCCCAAGGCAACAGAGAAAGCCCATTACATAATAAAGCATCTGAAGATATGTGACAAAATTAATCTTTTTTCCTTTAAATTGTTTTTCTTGTCTAATAATCACAGGGATGAAGGCAACATAAAAGGTATTCTTGGTTACACCAGACTAGTGAAAGACCTTGGAGACATCACCACTGTGGATATGCTGGAATGAGGGACAGAACCAGCTTTTAGGGAGGAAAGTCTATCAGATTTATCTTACTTTCAAGGTGTTCTTTTCCAATTCTGTGCAGGCTCTTTAGGCCATCCTAATAAAAACACTCCAACTTCCACCTTATAGCTCCAAACTGAAGAGAATCCAGTACCTTTTCATATTCACAGTCAACTCTCAATTAGCTATGCATATGAGAGTCGTGTGTTTGATAATAAAATGATAATTTATGTATCGGGGATTTTTCCCTTTGTTTTTGGCAACATCAACAGACTTATTTTTCTAATTGTGTCTGACCCCAATTAGTATCAAAGCTAACATTCTCCAGAGCATACACATATAAACACATACTACTCACCAATTGGTGGTGGGTGGAATGCCCAGAAACACTTTGTGGGGTAGGGAAAGGAAAACTGAGATTATATTTTTGTTGCTGGAAATTCACATACTAGATAATCAATAAAGAGTTGGCTGTATTTATATGAGGCTCTTCCTAGAGCCAAATAATCACATTAGTTAATTCCCACCCATGAAATAAATGTAGTCTCAGTAATTACTTATTAAACTAAGTCTATCAGCATACAGCACATTTTCTTTTAACTGGGATTATCAAGCTTGACTGTTTATATCAATCCAATTAAGATAATTGTCTGACTCTCCAGTACTGGCTGCCATGTAATTCTTGCTCAGTTTTCTCTCGGGCTTGTAGATTTGGGGGAATTCAGCATAACTTTCGTGATTTCCAGACAGTTGTCTAGACAATTCCCTCTGGATGGTGCATGAGGTCTGGCTCTGGGTTTAACATCCCTGATGCATCCCGCCCATGGCCCCACCCTTGCCATACTACTCACCTTTCTCTTCCTCAGCTTGGCTGCTTTCGGCAGTCTCCGTTGGAGGCTGGGCCGCCTTGGTGGCAGCATCCTCTGCAGCAGGGGTGGTGGCAGCAGCATCAGTGACAGGCACATCGGCTTGTTTAGGCTCCTCCTTGGCAGGGCCATCTTCGGCCTTGGAGGACGGCGAGTTATCAGTGGTAGCTTTAGCGGCACTTTCTGTCTCAGCTGAGCCGGCCTTCTCCTCTGAGGGAGCAGCATCCCCCTCACCTTTCTTCTCCTCAGAAGGGGCATCTCCTGCCTTGCTGGGCTCATCAGCCTTGGGGCTGGTGGCTGGAGCTGCATCAGTAGTAGCAGGGCCGTCTCCCTCCTTCTTCTCCACACCATCAGCAATGGGAGCATCATCCTTCTTCTCGTTTGCCTCGGCCTCAGCAGCTGGTGCATCACCCTTCTTCTCGCCTTTGAGCTTTTTCCTTGTTATGTGTCCACGGAAGCTAGCCTGAATTTTGGTCGCAGCCTTATGAGCCTTATCTTCCGGTTTGACACCATCTTGTTCAATCTTTTGGTCCTCATCATTCTTTTCAACCTTTGTGGACAAAAAAGGGACAAAAAAGAGAAGCTCAAAGGGTGTTTGTTTTTTTCCTTCAATTCTCAACATTGGGTAGGTATTAAATGATTCACTCTGGTCTACATTCTTCACTGGGGAGATAACAGAAATCAAACCAATCCTCAGAGACACTTCTCCGGCCACTCCTCTTGGAGTTATGATTTTACCGTGTAACCCTGTCTGACTTGGAGCACCTCCTCCTTCCAGCCTCTCTGTTCAGGGACTGCAGACTTGGATTCCCAACCAAATATTACCATCTGACCTCCAAGAATCATAGACATTAAAAGGGTGTGCTGAAGCTGGGCGTTGGTGGCACATGCCTTTAATCCCAGCACTCGGGAGGCAGAGGCAGGCGGATCTCTGTGAGTTCGAGGCCAGCCTGGAGTGAGTGCCAGGATAGGCTCCAAAGCTACACAGAGAAACCCTGTCTAGAAAAACCAGAAAAATAAAAAAAATAATAATATAATAAAATAAAAAATAAAAAAAATAAAAAAGGGTGTGCTGAAGCAACCCTGTATTTCCAGAACTCAAGAAGCTTAAGTATGAAGTTTATGTAAATTCAAAGGCAGCCTTGGATGACATAGTGAATTCCAGGCTAGCCTAGACTACATTGTGAGACCCACTCCCCTACTTTAAATAACAAAAAGAAAACACACAACAGTAACCGATGTTAGCCTGTATGTGTTTCATTTCTCAAGTCAGGTTATTCTACAAAGCAACTGAAATAAGCCTTGCTTTAGATGTAACTTAGTGACTCGAATCACATTTGCCTTAGGTTTTCATAAAAGAACTCTCAAAGATATTGGGTCCTCAGGATTTCTGAGGACTCTAAAACTTAACGATTTAAGAAATTTTATGCAACAGCCTAGTCGTCTCTCTCCCCTAAGCTTCCAAGCATGATCAGAAAATTAATATACTCAAGGAAAGAAGCATGCTAAATATTTCAACAGTAAATCACATCAGGGTTTTATGCAAAATATAATGAATTCCAGGACTTCAAGGAATTCAGAATGTGATGAATCATGACACTGGTGACCAACTGTTTAACTATCTCAAAGTGTGGTCCAACACCACCAATAAATATATCAGGCCTTTAAAATTGGAATATAGAAGACTCATTATCACTGAGTTTTAAAAGGTGAGAAAAAATTATTTTGGTTGTTTTAAAAAAAATGGTCCAAAATTACTAAGTCACTATTGTAGCCCCAGAGTAATTTAAACCCAAAATTAGTTTTTATTATCATAAATAAAACATCCTAGTAATGCAGGCATGAAATTAAAATATAAACCATTTTACCTTTTGGCAATAACATTTACAGTCTTCCATGTGCTACAAAAGACCTTTTTTCTATTTGGAAATTCAATCAAAAAGTAGGAAAAAAATAAAAGAAATGAATAGGCAAGTACCTAAAATTCTGCATCACATTGATGCTCACCATGGTGCCCTGGCATCATTAATAGATTAATAGTCTCTATTTCTTCCTTCCTTCCTTTAGTTTCATTCACTTATATAACAAATTTTACTTATTTTCACACACTCTCCACTACCCTCTATCATCTGCCCCCCCTTCTCTTGCCAAAACACTTCTTCCCAAGAAGCCACCCTCCTGATTTCACATCCTCCTTTGTGTGTGTGTGTGTGTGTGTGTGTGTGTGTGTGTGTGTGTGTGTGTGTGTGTGTGACCCACTGAGTTTAGAGTTGCTTGCATGAATATGGATGGCAAAGTATTTACTAGAGCACAGGCAACCTATCAGAGGCTACACTGCTGAAGAAAATACCACCCACACCCTCTTCCAGCATCTGTTAACAGCTCACAGACCCACAGGAAAGAGGAGTCTTATAGGCCCTCCTCACTGTAGATGAAATGTTGAGGGACCCGATCATGTGCAGATCCTGTGTTTCAGTGAGGTCATGAACACAATGACTAAGTTTTGAGCATCCAGCTTTTGCTCACATTTGTGAGCCCTGTTCTAGGTGCTGTGAGTTATAGTAGTAAGTAGTACAGCAACTTGTTCTAAAAAAATCATAAAAGTGTTTATTGTGTTCTATGTTCTATGCTTGGTACTAATTTGCCTTGGGGTTTAAGTTTGCCCTTTGCTTTAGTTTAGGAAGTAAACCACAACAGTCAACATGCAGCATGTTTTCCACCTGTCATACCAGCCCAACCCCAGTGACCCAGATCCAGCTAATCATGATGTGGACCTGTTTGACATTCTTTGGACAAATACACAGACCTGTCATTGCTTGGGTCCATCATTATGCTAGTAGATACACAAAGGTGTCTTATAAAATAAGATACGATACTTGTGGGTCTAAAGTCAAGATTGACAATATTCTCAATAAAATTCTAGGCAACCTTTTCTTTTCCCTCAGTTAGCCATGCATATGATTCTATACAGAAGGAAAGAGAAGTGACAGCACTTTGACAAGGCACATCATCCTCTTTCCTTCCACCTCCCAGGGCCATGCTGCAACTGCTTCTCTTTTGGATGCACCACCTCCTTCCTGCCATCCTGCTGCTCTTGATGGCTCCTACTGGGACACACACAGCACAATCTGGGGCACCAGAGCATCTGTCCCTGCCAGGAGCCCTCTGCTCAGAGATGAAATCATAACCCTGTAAAATTAACAGTTGTGAATGGAGCACAGAGTGAAGCCAATATGTTATTTATGGTACTCTACTGTGGATTTTCTGAATGAGGTACTATCTTATAGGATAGGACATCTGCACGTAGGCACTGATGCCAAGTGGTTCTTCAATAAAAATACTACTCCTTCTGTGGATAAATAAACTAGTTATTTTATATTAGGCCAATGTGCAGAAGAGGTCCTTCAGTGACTCAAGAAAGGTACTGTGTCCCATTAAGAACACAAATATTTAAAAAATGGAATTGAGTAAACTAAAACTAAGAATGTATGAAAAACCATTATAGAAGCCCACTGTTTTGTAACCTAATCAAAAATATACAATTTTTTAAAATGGTGTTTGAACTCCTACATGTGTGAAAAATGCTTCCCCTATAAGACACAGGTGCCAGGAATTTGAGCTATGAGCTATTAATCAGAGATGCCCCAGAGATCCCCACCCCATCCCACCCATACCCAAACTCCCCCAAACCACAGGCTGTTTGCATTGTTTTTAGTTTCCAACCAGAACTAAACATTTGACTCCTGAAGAACCAGAGACCAATCCAGAAAACTACTAGTCAGAAAAATTGACTTGCCTCATCCATAGCATGATTCAATAAGTGGCCCAGTTTATGTTTGGACTAAGTTATTTTCACCAAATATACCCATCCCCCTAGTCCAAGTTTATTGTGTTACAAACATAAGATTGTAAGTTTATGCTTGAAGTTTCTTGTAGCCAACACTCCAGATGCAAAGTTAACATTGTTGCTGTGTACAGAGTGTCTATGCTAAGCACACACACACACACACACACACACACACACACAGATGGATGTGATTATTTCATGAGTTCCAAAGGTTCAGAACTAAAAATAACATGCGTTTTTTCTGGGGTACTTCAGCACAGTCAAGGTTTTACAGTTATCATGAGATTACTCAACTCTCCCAGCAAATGAAAGCTTTGGTATGTTATGTTATCTACTTCTGTCAGCTACAAATACTCTAATATTTCATTTCTCCTCTGAGATATGACTGATTTTTGTTGTGTGGCAATTATTCTTTCTAACTGTGATATTTCTATCCTGGAATAATGTCTGTTTACTTTGTGCCATTAGACATTATATGTTAGAAATATGGAAGTATGTAACTTGGATTTGTTGGGTTTTTTTTTTTAAAATAGGCACTCCCAGTTAAGAAATTGTATTAGAGCTCAAATGAGACTTTGGACTTTTAAAGGGGTATTGGAATTGTTAAAGACTATGGAGACTTTAAAGTTCAACTGAATGTATTTTTGCATTATGGTTACTTGCCTATGGGAACAAGGATGGAAGGATATGGCTTATCAGCGATGTGTTTGGGAATCAAATTGATGAGGGGTAGAGTTGTGATGGGTTAGTGTTAACTCTCTACTGGACAGCATCTGGAATGTAAAATATCAGCCCCTCAGAACATCCCTGAGTGATTATTTAGTCATTGAGCATGCCGGTGGGGATCATGCTTATGAAGATAATGAGGTATATCTAGTCTACAAATGGATGAACCATTCCTTTGCTTGAGATCCTTGCCAGACCATAAAGAATAAAACGAGCTGAACAAATACCTTTGTTTCTCTTCCTCCTATTTGTGGGTGCCATGCAACCAGCTACTTCAAGTTCCTCTGCCTTAACTTTCCTACAATGATAGACTGCACCTTTCTACTGTGAAGGAATATAAGCCCCCTTTAACTTAAGTTGCTGTTGTGAGGACATTTTATCACCACAAAGGAAAAGAATCCAAGAAGCTGTGAACATCTTTGTAAGCTAAAATATGATCAATTCTATTGGGCAAAAATTATTTTTGAGAAATATAATCAAGGGGCAAGAGATGTGCTAAACAATGTTACCTCTAACACAATAGAGTTTTCATTCATGTGAAAAAATCTGATGTGGCCTATAAAAAATAACTAGAGTAAAATATTATTACATAAATAGGAAATTCAGCAAATACCTAGCTACGAACCATTCTATTCTTATTATCAATTTATTTTAGTGAAGTTTTATTCTACTTGTGATCATAATTGACACTTTGTTAACATATGTTAGAAAAACTATGCAAGCATCAAAGCAATTTACACTAGTTTGAAGACTTTTTCCAAGGTAAAATTTTGGAAAGAGAATGTAGGAAGAAGCAAAGAAAGTTTTAACCCTTTTCCAGCAGCTGTCATAACTTGATTCACTATGACTCAGGGTCTGATAAAAATCCTTTCTTAGTTACAGGCCAAATGAGATACTTTCATGACCAAGTAATTCCCCAAGGGAATGTGTGAACAAAGAGGGTTTCTGGAAATCCTGGCAGAGTGCTAGTGAAAGGACTTGGGGTTTCCTTAAAGAAAGGTACAGCCTTTTGCTGCTGCTGCTGCAGAATCAATAAAAAAACAAAAAGTGACCTTCAGTTGTCAGAAAAGGAACCAAATATGGGAGATTTTATCGAGCACTACTATTAAATTCTCAGATAATGCCAAGTGATAAAAAATAGGCCTATGGATATTTTATATATTATTTAGCATGTATATTTCATCTACTTCCTTAATTAAGTAATGTTCTTTAAATGGTTTAAAATACCATTAAATAAATACTTATGCTTTCTAACAGAGAAGTTCAGCATATGATAAAGAACTTGCCTGTATTTGCTGCTGATTCCAAGTTTTAAGACTGATGTAGGAATCCATATATTGCAGCAGGGTATGAGTAATATTTGTTGAAAGGACTAAAAATTTCAACATTTTGTCCTAGGAAGGTGCCTTAGCCTCAGCAAGTAAAGGCATGCGACAGAGATTAATGTCCTAAGCTTGATTCCCAGGAAATTCACTCAGTTGGAGGTGAGCACTGACTCCCCGAAGTTGTCCTCTAGCTGCCACATGCATGCGCGTGCGCGCGCGCACACACACACACACACACACACACACACACACACACACACACACACACACTATAAATACAAGATGTTCGGGTTTCCATTTGCCAACTCTGTGAGAAACCATCTCTTTCCAATGACAACATTCAAGAGCATCTCTCAGCATAGAGATGAGAGAGAGGAGTTTATAAGACGTTACATGACTACAAGTGTTCCATTACTGCTGCTAACATAAGAAGCCAGAACTTAGAGTTGGCCAAGCCATGGCCAACTGAGTCTAGACAAAAGACATATTCATATCATCCATGGGTAAACAAGTCTTAGCAATAAAATGTTTCCAATATCTACCTCTTCTACATCC